CTCTCCTGCTCCCGGGGCGTCCCTGGTCACGTGGAGATCCAGGGCTGTGGCTTCATCCCCACGGCCGAGGCGGGACAGCAGATCGGGCTTGGAAACGGGGAATTCTGGAAAAGAGAAGGGGGAGCGCCGTGGGTGAGGAGGGTGGTCCCCGGGGGAGCCCAGGGGGGAGGAGGAGGAGGGGGGGACGTGGCCAGCAGGCCCCTCACCCAGCGCCATCAGCGCCTCGTAGCTCTCCTGCATCACGTCGCGGTACAGCGCTCGCTGCCGCGGGTCCAGCACCACGTAGGGCTCCATGGCCGGTGCCACCAGACCCCTGGGAGAAGGAGGTGACCCCCTAAAGTCATCAAATCCCACCTTATAAAACCTCCGCCCTCCACCCAGCCAGAGATTTGCCTGAAAATCCCAAAAACTTTGTCCTCTCGGCCGGTGATTTTTTTTCCCCAAAAAAAGTTCACGGGGAGGAGGAAGCGGGAGGGGAAAACAAACACAAACAGCACAATTCCTTAAAAAATGGGGGAAAAAAGATAAAACCCACCCACGAAGAACACGGTTCTGAGAAAGCCTGACCCTAAAATTCATTTTCACCCAGATTTCATCTACATTTTATCTATTTCATTTTATCTCATCTGCACCAAACCCTCCTCCTCTTTCTGGAGGCTCCCAAATCTGCCTGAATCCCCCCTAAAAATCCACTCAGGAATCCCTCTTATTTTCCTCAAAGAGGATAAACCACCCTGTTATTGCTCTGTGCAAATCTTGGCTGCTCAGAGCTGACACTGAAAGGGGGAAAAATGAGTTTTCCCAGCTGAAGGAAGAGGGTTTGGTGCCTCACCTTTGCAAAAACATCATTTAAAACCCACTCATTTTAATTACCACCAGTCCCCCCACCCCTTCCCTCCTCCACCGTGAGCAGCAAGCACATTAAAATCCCAATACAGGGGTTTCTCATTCTAGTTTAATTCAAATTTAGTTCTAATTTAATTCAAATTTCATTCAAATTTAGTTCTAAATTAATTCTAATTTCATTCTAAATTCATTCCAAGTTGATTCTAAATTGATTCTAAATTAATTCTAAGTTCATGCTAAGTTCATTCTAAGTTCACCCTAATGTCTAATAATTTCATTCTGATTTCATTCTAATTTATGGGGTTTTTTTCCCCAGCAGCAGAGCTGAGGAGCATGGAGGAAAAGGTGGATTTGCAGAAGGTTGTCACCAACTCACGGATCCCAGGAAGAAAAGGGAGATTTCCAGCAGATCCCTCCTGGAATTTGGGCTTTTTGGTGGTTTTTGGAAGCCTCCCCCCAGCATCTCAGCTCGTTTCGTTTATTCCCCGCTCGTTCGCCATCCTGCTTCAAAAACAAGAATAATTAAAGGAAGAAAATCAATCAAAGGGTCAATCCCGGGCACCCCCCCGGACACAAAATGAAACCCACCCGCCCGGCCGAAACGCGGGGGGGAAGGACGGATGCCTGCAGAAAGACAACGGGGATGGGATTTGGGGAGGAATTTTGGGGGGATTTGGGGGGTTTTTAATTCTTTCCCCCATTCCCCGAGGATGGAGAGCAGCCGGGCAGCGAGTTCACGCCCGGTGTGCGTGCAGGGAGGAGAGGGAGAGGAAGGAAAGGACGGGAGCCATTTTCCGCCCCCTCTTCCCATCCTCAGACCGACCCTTCCCCGTTACCTGCAGTCTCCGGCGCAGGAGGTGCTGTCGGCAAAGCCCCCCCCGAAGCTTTTTCCCCCCCAAAATGCCCCTTTTCCCCAAAAAAATAAATAAATGGGGCAGACGGGCAATGAGGGGATGTGGGGTGGGATTTTTGCCCCCTCTTAGGGATGCGAAGGCCGCGGGGAGAGGGTGAGGCGGCCACGGTGTGTCGGGGAAGGGTCCCTCTGATATCCTGAGGAATAAGAGTTAAAAAAAAAAATGGGAAGGAAGGAAGGAAGGAATTAAAAAAAAAAAAAAA